GTTACTTATCGTGTGACTGGGGGAGTCCTATCTTGTGGGTGGAATTGGAGATGACTCAATAGAGGAGAAAATTGGGGAAAACTAAAAAAAATAAATAAATAAACAGAAACAACAGAAATTGCACACATAAGCCTACATGACTTGCATGCACACTAAGGGGAGTTGGAATTCGACACAACACAGAACAGACCTGGATGCAGTTCACAAGGTTTGAGAGAAGTTTTGGGTTTGTATTTACAGAAAAGAGCTGGTTCACTATTGACTCCTATTGCTTGACTCCTATTAGTCTCATTAAGTGGCCTCAACTCGTTTCCGACTCCTGGCGACCATATGGATAGTGTCTCTCCAGAATATCCTGTCTTCTGTTTGGGTCTTCAGGTTTCTCAATGACTGGTTCATGATTCCTCTGACTGTATCCATCCACCTTACAGCTGGTCGTCCTCTTCTTCTTTCACCTTCAACTCTTCCAAGCATAATGGACTTTTCCAATCAGTTGGTTCTCAGAATATGTCCAAAGTAGATAGCTTCAGTTTGGGCTAGCTTCATAGCTCCAGTTTAAAATTAAAGAAGCAAAATTTGGACACTAAATATGACTTGTCTGATTGACTACTGATAAGGGGGAGGGGGGAAATTTCTGTAAATTTCAGCAAATTTGTTTTGCTTTAAACAGCAAGGGCTCATATATGTGGCCTCACACTTTGGTCGCTCTCATAGCTTCATAACTTGCGCAACTACTTTCATAGTAGTTACTGAATAATTTACAGCAGTTATTGATTATAAAGTCTTACTGAATAATAAGCCTGAATAATAAGCCTTTTTAGATACCCAACGCAGCTTTCTTTTTCAGCACAAATATTTGAGGACATGAGGACTGGGCTGCATTGTTTTTCATTGTCCTCTGGCTGTATTTCCACTAACCTCTTCAAGTTCCATCGTCCTCTTCCTCCCTTTCCCAATCCCCCTGCAGTACGGTTGGTGAATGGCAGAAGCCGGTGTGAAGGTCGTGTGGAGGTGCAGCACAATGGCACATGGGGTACGGTGTGCGACGATGACTGGGACATGGTGGACGCCAACGTGGTGTGTCGGCAGCTAGACTGCGGGCTGGCCATGGCTGTGGGCAGCAGCTACAGGTTTGGCCAGGGCTCTGGGCCCATCCTGCTGGACAACGTAGACTGCAAGGGGGAGGAGACAGACCTGAGCCAATGTGGCAACCAGGGCTGGGGCATTCACAACTGCTACCACTATGAGGACGTGGCCATCATTTGCAAAGGTAAGGCCAGGTTGACAAAGTGGTCACCAAGAAACACTTACACTACTGTTAAAACTTTGAATCACTGTTTTCAATATTATAAGACCAGTTTAGCCACAGATACATATATAAACTGATTGGAATATACTAGTCATGTGCAACATCTAAAGTAGTTAGTAGAAAGCTGCTTATGATGAACAGTGCTGTAGATGATTCTAAATTTGTGATTGTAAAGTAAATATTTATTTATTATTATTAATGTTTTAAATGCTTGAATACAAAATAAACCTTAATGTATCGAAAAAAAACCAGAAATACTTTTTGGTGTCAGATTTATTTAAATTCACTCTATGTAATTCTTTATTGTATATAAAATAACGAACATTATTAATATGACAAGTGATTCCAAACTTTTGAATATTTGAATACGATTATTATGGATAGATACAATGCAAAGTCATATGATGTCTCCATAATGTTTGTTTTTATTTTGGGATAATGGGCACATTTTACCAAAAGCTGTAGCTTTGTATAAGTAAGTGAGAGTATATATATGCTAAATTCACCAAAACCCTAAGGCTTATAGATGTAATAGATGTTCCCAATTAAGTAATTGGTTAATTAGAGGGACTTTTGTATGGAGCCATTGTTTAAGTCATTAGGGATTAGAGCTCCCAAGCTGCACAATTAAACAATGACAAATTAACTCCTACAGGACAGTGACAGCACAGCAAAGCAATAGAGTAATATGTTATACATACATACATACATACATATATCATCTAAACCGCTTATCCTTCTGGGTCACGATGGGGTGCTGGAGCCTATCCCAGCTGTCATTGGGCGGAAGGCAGGATACACCCTGGACAGGTTGCCAGTCTATCTCATCACATAATATGTTATGTTAGCTGGATATAATGTTTGATAGATATATAGTACTCTGCAAACATCAGAGACCACCCTTTATTTTTTTATTTTCCAGTTAAAATGGCCATTATGTACATCATTCATTTTTCAGGGAAAAAGCGGAAAAAAATAATATTATATATATATATATATATATATATATATATATATATATATATATATATATATATATATATATAATTTTATATACATTATTACATATATATACATTATATATATATATATATACATACATTATAACATATATATATATATATTTATATATACATTATAACAGAAGCCTCAACAACTAAATGTATTATCAGATATTTCCAGTATTTAGTGTGTTCACCTTTTACCTTTATTACACCTTCCATTCTTTTCAGGAGACTTGCTTTCAGTTTTAACATTTTTCCACACCTTCAAAGTTCAGTCATAGAAGTTGGTTGCATTTTCTCACAATCCACAGTACTATAATACTCGATGAATCTAAAGTTAATTGCTTATCATCTTAAATGTCATCTTGATTTTTGATGACATGACATTAGGATGTCATTATCCATGTCAACATCTCAGTATCTTTCTATTCTAGGTAACACTGTCATTGGGCCTAGAGGAAGCCCTGAGGGGCCCACCACTCCATCTCGAAGAAATTCTGGTTTAAGTAAGTCATGCACAGTTCAGACATGCAACATGCATCCAACCCCTTTCTGCATCATGAAAGGATCCCACCCTTTGTTAAGCCCATGCATTTACATGGCTTGTCCTCAGATGTCCTCATATGTGCTACTCACAAAGCAACATTGCCCTTTAGCACTTTCTTTGAACTGCTTCAAAGAATCCTCATGTTGCGGGATCCAGAGGTCCAGCCACTCTTCTCTAGCAACCTGAGAACAACCATTGTCTCTTCCTGTGATGGCCATATGCAGTGAAATGTCAGTGGAGGGTGCAACATAGATGCTGTGATCCATGTTATCCTGTGACTATAGCTCTCTGTTTTGTTTCACTTTCAATACACTCTTCAACTTACTATTCCCAAGGCTGTGTTGCCGATGGATGGGCCAATAGAAAATGCGTCTTTAGAATAATATGCAAGAGAGTTAATTGCTCATGTAGAGTATGTCTACGCTAACAGAGAACATATTCTTGCATTATACACTACTTATAAAAGTCTGTAATCAGTGTTTACAATGATATAAAACATAAATAGCTTTAAATGTGCTTTAAAAGAGCTTTTAAAGTATGTTAAACTAGCACAGTGTTGTATAGTGTTATTATACTATTGTATAGTATTACTTAAGCAATAGAACACGAAAGGGAGTGTGTTATCGCGAAATAACATCACGGCTGTGATTTGTATAAAGTATTATATGTATGTGATGTGCATATAATGATGTCAGTTATATGTGACTTCCCAGATTTGAACTGAGCCGCACACAATTCCAAAATGTTTGAATAAGCCGTACAATATTAGGTCCTAATATGTTGGGAAAGACTGCTCCTACTATATGTGCCATACTGAAAAAAAATTCCAACAATATCCTTTTCAACCAATATCTGGTTCATGTATTTATGTACATTGGCTACTTTATTAATGAACAACATAACAAAAACTACTATTGCTGTGACATCTAAAATATCTAAATGTAAATCTGATGTAAATAACACTTAAAAGTATAACACTTTAAATAAGTAATTTAATTTCTAGTAGATGTAGTGCGTCAATGTGAGGAAATGACGGAACCAAACCTTGCAAAATACTACAGCTGATTGATGCGCCACACAAATGACTAGCTCCAGGTTGCCTTGTACAAGTTGCTAGTTCATTGTCCAGAGTGTTACTAGAGCTTTTAATCTAGACCAAAACTTCACTTAATCCACTACCAGACCTCATGGGGACGGATCTCGGTTCAGAGAGAACACCAGCATTTAAGCTGTTGATTAATTAACCCAGTGCAAAAGCTCTAACTTCAGAATCACATCCCAAACTCATAAACCCCACTTTTCCTCCCCGTGCTGCAGGAGACGGTACCATCCGGCTAATGGGCGGCCCAGACCGCTGCCAGGGCCGGGTGGAGATCTACCATCGTGGCAGCTGGGGGACGGTATGTGATGATGACTGGGGGATGCGGGACGCTGTGGTTGTGTGCCAGCAGGTCGGCTGTGGTCCTGCGGTCACCTACACCACCAACGCCTACTTCGGCTATGGCACTGGCCTCATCATGCTGGACAACGTCAACTGCAATGGCTACGAGAGCCAGCTGGCCACCTGCTACAGCCTGGGCTGGGGCATTCACAACTGCGGCCATCACGAGGACGCTGGGGTCATCTGCACAGGTAAATTAGGCCTGCATTATCTGAGGCCTGTTGCTGTCAAAAGGAAACCTTACATTGCTATTAACTGATAAGAACTGCAATCATATTACTCAGTTCAGTTCAGTTCAGTCTTAATGTTGACTGTTCAGTAGTTACTTTAAAATATTCACTGACTATTCTTAGTCAGGTTATGGAGTTGGTCCTTAAGTTAAGTTAAAGTATTGCTGAATGCTATTATTATTTCAGTCTTTATATCAGGATTTTCACAATTTGGCATAAGATATAAAAAGGCCTACGTTTAGTAGTATCGTTGTTGGCGGTAGAACTCAACACAATCTCTCTCTCCCTCTCTCTCTCTCTCTCTCTCTCTCTCTCTCACTGACTCACTCCCCCTGCAGGATTGGGTACTACCACTGCTCCCCCCCTTGACATGGAGACCCTGGGCAGAGCATTCTTCCACACAGAGAGCACAGCAGGTATAAATGGCACATATATGTGAGTGTATATCTTTACCTGCTGTCCACAAGCACATATGGGTAAATAGAGAGCCAAACTAGTGTGGCCAACCGCTGCGTCTGCCTGTCTGCTTTGGCATTCCTGATGGTTTGAAGTGAATAGCCCATCTGTCATACGCAAACACGCACACTGTGTGCTCTCACACAGACACATATTCACATTCACACTCTAGCAGGAGTCACTTTTCAAGCAGGACAGTGGGATCTTGTACTATTCCTGTTGCCTCACCAGAGGGCACTGTTTTGCAGAATGACGCACCTCAGTCAATCCATGAGATTGTGGAGATGCAGCTGCAGCTATCTGTGGCCTTGTCTTCAGTGCCTTCCCATCTTCCTTTCCTCCTTTCTGGTTTTGTCTTCAAGTCATCATCCTGGGTATTTTTCTCTCACTTCCCTCAGAGACAGGAGTGACTGTTCCAGTTACAGATACGACTGCAGCTGAACCCACCACAGCCATAACCACAAGAGGTAACACTAAAAACAGATGCATTTTTAACACTATACCTATTTTTGTAGTACTAATCCAGATAGATGCAGTTTCTATATTTTATAAATATTTATGTAATGATTTACATTTACAGCATTCAGCAGACGCTCTTATCCAGAGCGACTTACAAAAGTGCTTTGTTGTCCACTCAGAGAAAGCATCTTTGCTGGTTACAAATAGGTTAGAGAGAAAGCTCGTCCTGAGCTCAGATACTGCTAGAAACAAAAGCCCATGTTGATACCCAGAGAAAAAGGAACAGAATTAAGTTTCAGTATGTGCTGTACAATACATTTCAATAAGTACTACGTTAGTGCTCACTTAAGTGCTGTAAAAAGAGATTTGTCTTTAGTCTGTGTTTAAAGATGTATCAAAAACTAATATTGTGATAACTAATATTTTTCACTGTTCTGTATAGTTTACTGTTTTTCACTGTTCTGTATAGTTCACTGTTTTTCGCTGTTCTGTATAGTTCACTGTTTTTCACTGTTCTGTATAGTTTAATCGTTGAGATGTGAATCAGTCATTCAGAGTGGTTTGATGTGAAGTGGTACACTGTATAAAAATTTACAGACTCAGATTTCTTTGCGATGGTGGTGACAGGAAACAGGGGTCACAATTTCTATGCCACAAATACAGCCATTTTATTTAGAATCCAAATCCACCAGTGAACCTACTTGTCTTCTGAGTTTTAGGTGTAACGTTGATGATGGTGAAATAGTGCTAAATTTGAAACAAGATGTTTCCTTTGGGTGTTATTTTGCCTTTCAGTGCCCTGCATGTACCCGTCAACCTGGAATGTATATAAAAAAGAAGTTTGAGGCCAAAACCTTCTTTTATATTTCTATTTATAGCCATTTCAAGTAATACCTTACTGTTTAGGAGCTTTTTGAGGCATTAAAAGCTTCAGACGTCTAGTTCCTGTCATCACCACTGTGAAGGATTCTCGCTTGGGAAGCTTCTTTAGAATGGAGCATTTCACATCAAACCACTCTAAATGGCTTTATTTACGTGTTAACGATTTAATTATGCACAAATAAAAAAATGCTAGAATTCAACCTTAATGTAAAGATATTTTATTACAAGCAATTTTGGAAGATTCCTATTGGTCCATTCGTTTTCACACGATGTAAAGGGCAGATGTTTTGTTCAAATAAAGTAAAAAATATATGTATAATAAAATTTGAAAAAAATGGAAATACTATAACGTTTTCTAAATAAATGTATTTATAAATGTTGTCAGTGACTGTCCAGCTCTCCAGAGCCGTTGAAGCTTTGTAATGCTCAAATGCCTTATTGTATAACTAGCTGTATATTTATTAAAGTAAAATATTGTGCAAATGTCCAATGATTTAGATTGAAATACTTTACAGCTGACGATGTGGCAACGAACAGATTATCATATTGATTGCGTGGACACTATTAAGAGCTATCTAGCTAATCAGACATTCAGAGCTATTTGATGTTTTGTTCATTCCTCCATTCAGAGCAGCCCAGTGTCCGCGTGGCGAATGGAAACAGCAGTTGCCAGGGTCGCGTAGAGGTCTCCTACAACAGCGTCTGGGGCACGGTGTGTGATGATGACTGGGACATGGACAATGCTCAGGTGGTGTGCAGACAGCTTGGGTGTGGCCCCGCCCTCGCAGCCGTCCCTCTTGCCTACTTTGGCTACGGCTCCGGTCCCATCCTGCTGGACAACGTGGATTGCCAGGGAAACGAGAGAGCGCTGGCCGACTGCTTCAACCTGGGCTGGGGGCAGCATAACTGTGGGCACCATGAGGACGCTGGGGTCATCTGCTCAAGTAAGTTAGAGGTGGACAAATGGACAAAATATACCATGCAATCCATAAATAATTGGACACAGTTTGGGCTCTGCGCTGCAGCATGCTGAATTTGAAATCATGAATTAACCACTTAAATGGCCATCGATTTCTGATAGACACTTCAAAACAGTTTTCATCATAGTCCATGTAGCTTCTGAATAATAAGCACAGATCAGTTTTAATTTGAGGGTATTTATGTCTGCACTGATTAAACCACATATAAATATCTACATTATCATCCAATTCATGGGGACCATAAGTATTTTGACAATTGCTACTCAGATGTTTGTTGGCTAGCTACACTGTTAAAAATGAAAGTCCGCTCAGCTTAAAATGATAACTGATAACACTGCTTTTACACTCAGACTAACTTATTGTATTCAAAAGTTAATTTTTTTAGTTCTGCATCTTAGTTTGGTAAACAATATAGAACGTATGTCTTTACTCAGTTTCCCCACTAGCTGTGGATCTTTCCCTTAGACAGTCCCACCAAGCATTTTTCCCTCTTGTACTCCCAGTTATGGACGGCTATGGCATCACTGGGGTTCAAACTGACAACCTCCTGGTGTGGGTGAATGCATAGTTTGTTGCAGCACTCGCTAGTTCCTGAAATCAGTCAGATTTCTGTGTCCTTAAATGTTAACAAACTTTAAAAAACATTGGTGGTTTTACCTTTAAAACTAGTACTTTAGTAATTTGGTGCAATGGTCTGAGAATTTACCCCAACATCAGGAGATTTTGAGTTTGGACCTCAGTAATGCCACAGACATCCACATCTGGAAGCCCAAGAGGAAAAAAATGCCTGGTGGGATTGTGCCATAGAAAGAGTCCCAGCAAATGGGGAAACAGTAAGAAACAAATTCTGTATTGTTTACTTAACTGAGAAACTAGAAATGAGAAAAATGAGAGAAGTCAACTTTTGACTAAACTGAGAAGTTGGGTGAACTCTGGAGTCCTCAAGTTAAGTTAACTCAAGAAAAGCTGTGTAATCAATTACGTTTTATGTTTTTTTTGTTTGTTTGTTTGAACTCATTTTAAGTTATGCTGACCTCATTTCTTATAGTGTGTGCATCTCAGCATCATTTGATAAAGCACAACACAGCTAGCAAAAGGTCTAGAAGTTCATTCTACATGTTGAATCTAGAGTCAATATCAGGACATTAGGCTGAAAAAATCAGAGACTTGAAACAAAAACACTGTAGATGTGGAAGTGATATAAGCTGATACAAAGTAATACAAACTGATATGTTGTCTATCATATAACTGTGGAACAACAGTGGGCTTTTCACTAGACAAAAGGTGTCAAAATATGTCAGAACACAAGCCCTCTTTTTAGAAGCCCATCACTATTCTCTACATTTCTGGCATTTATCACACTGGATGTAGTTTGTCATGGTGTGCCATGTAACAGTTTACCATTATGTATGAACATGATGAACTCATCATGTGAGTAATAGGTTTTCTAAAATGACTCAGCTAAATAAACAAGCACACTTTCACTCCTGTTGAGGGACAACACATAAACTGTGAAACTGCTGTTACAGCTGTGAAATATGTATTCTGTCTTACCAAAATTATTGCAGTAAAAGTATTCAGTGGAAATACAATATGTCCAAAAGTATCCAAATACTCCTAATTAGTGAATTCAGCTATTTAAGGTGCACCCATTGCTGACACAGGCAATCATAATTTGCCAGTCGAATGGGCCTTTAGGAGCAGCTGCGCATGATCCTAAAGACACTGTTCTCTGGAGTGATAGAGGTCCATCCAACACCTTTGAAGTGGCATTTGTAACCAAGAACGAATTGTCCAGCATCAGTACCTGACCTCACTAATGTTCTTGGGGCTGAATGTGCGCAAACCCTTACAGCAGTGCTCCAACTATCTAATGTAAAGCTTACCCAGAAGAGTAGAGGCTGCTGCTGCAGTAAAGAGGGGTTATCACATTTCAGAAATTCATAAAACACCATTACAGAGGTATAAACAGAGTTTTAACTCAGTGGTTCACAGGCACTGTATAGTATAGAAGGTAAGTTACAGCCTTGTATGCAGGAGATGAGCCTACAAATCCTTGCACTTTGTTACGTTTATGTTTTTGGCTGTCTTGGGAAGAACTGCTAATGCTACATTTGCATCCCTCCTTTTATTTTCCCTTGTGCCCCTGCCCTCCAAACTGCCTGTGCACAGCCCTGCCCCTGCTCATTGTAATGCTACCAAAATGTAGGAGTTTCAAAATAAATATATGGTACATTGTTGAGAAGCAAGAATGCAACAGTGAGCTTAGCAATAGCCCACGAAAGAGCACAGTAACAGATGACCAAACAATACTTTCAGTTGTGAGGAAAAACTGCAGAACAGATCAAGAATATTATCTGAAAGGTAGACAAAGATGAGTCAAAGACCAAAGAGAGAAAAATACACCAGCGTGTGTTTTTAAAGCCTTGTAAAAATCCATTAATTGGAGAAAAAGGTAAATTTACCTATGTAAAATGTTGGCATGTATGGCTGCCACTGGAACCAGCAGTAGCAGCAGAACAAATTCTGAAGTGCACAGAAGTGTCACAGAGATTTTAAGGCCTGAAATTCGAATAACTAAGTCAATCACCTGACATGAAACCCACTCGTCATGTGTTTCACTTACTAAAGACAAGGCTGAAGCCTGTGAAACAAACAGGAACTGGAAACGCATTACCGGGCTGGTGTCTGGTGATGTCTAGAGGGCACAGCATCTGGCAACCGTTGAATATAAAGGATTTGAAACTTGAAGTATAATTTTATATTTCCAGCCTAAAACTAGGAATTAATATGTTGTCATGTCATGTAATATTCTGTAGCACAGCACTGCATCCCTGGCCTCACTGATTTGAGAGAATTCATGATTTTGCATCCTTTTTATGTTTTTGTCTACCAGTGTTCTCTTATTACCACTTATGTAGAGGCTGATAAATATATAATATTAAGGATCCTAACAGTGATGTTAGTAATCTGGCTTCATTCTACCTTAGCCAGCTAATGGAAAAAAACCCTTTCAACACAAATACTTTCTCCCACCTTAAATATGCTTTATCAGAAGTGTATTTACTAGTCTTTAAACCAAAACATCTCACTAAATTCTGTAAATTTGTCCAGTTATTTGTAGAAATTGGTCAGTATACTTTTTACACAAGCCTTCATCTTTGCTGTACATCTCTACAGTAAAGCAGTGGGCACATACCCCCCACCTGGAGATCTACTTTCCTGTAGAGTTTAGTTCCAAACTGCATCTATCATGCTGCCCCCGATTACCAAACACCAAAGCATCTGATCCAGCCAGACAAGAACATCTGAAGTTAATTAACCAAAGCATGCATAGCAGATTGTGGTTGGAACTAGACTCCACAAAAAGGTAGATCTCAAACACCAGGGTTGGTGACCACTGCAGTGAAGTATTAGGCCTATATGTGTTTTTTTCCAGTGTGTGCAAATGCATTTATATTGCACTGTCACTACCCCATTCATAAGACTCACACTGTCACAATGCACCAGTCAACATCATTCACTGTGAAAGGCCCAACAGTGAATGTACACACACATCTCTTTCCTCATTCAGTTCCAGTCTCATTTCCAGGCCAGTGCACTTCCTCCCACCCCAGAAGTACAGCCACATTACACAGCGCCAACCGCCATTCTGCTGACCAAAGCAATGCTGGTTTCTCGATTCCTTTATGTCTCTTCCTCTTAAAATCTTAAGCACGCACACATGCATTCACGCATCTACGTTGTTAAGGCACAACTCTCTTTCATACCAACCGGTACACTGTTATACGCACATACTACTCCAGTCCTCCCTAACGAGGCACCTGCTTCATAAGACTTTAACTATTCTGAGGAGAACTCTAAAATCCACCACACAGCAACGTCATAGCATCATTTCCGCAAGCCCTGTGTCTGAGGCAGTCCGCTGTGGCCACGTGCAAAATCTAGAGGCCAGTCAGGGAACATCAGCATCAGCTGAAGCCCACAGGGGGGAAATCCACATCCGTCTTAGCCACGTGGAGCCAAACGGCCATAAATATATGTATGTGTGTTCCCAATATACACACATTTTAAAGAAGCAAGTCTGGTGAGGATGAAGAGGGAACGTACGCGATTATTTCCATTTAATCTAATAAAGAAGTTAAATCTAATAAGAAGTTTAATCTAATCTAAGATGTTAAGCATTTGTCTAATTTTTAAAAACTATAAAACTAGCTTTTGGAATCCAGATTAAGCCTGTCATTGGATTAGATTATACTGGCATGGGATTGGGGACCATCTACTGTGGTTTAATTTAATTTCAATATTGTTATTGTAGTTCTGTTATTTTGTTTCTGTGTGTTTTATTACAACTATAATTGCATAATTAGTCATGTTTAATGACTGTTTTCAGAGTTTTTGATCATTGTATTTAAATGTGGCACTACTGCATTGTGTCTATGTGTTAAAATATGAAACATGTCATATATCATGGTTAATGTCTGTAAAGGGGAATCAATGAAGTGGTTTACTTGCACTTGGTTGTACTTACAGACTCAGATTTCTTTACAGTGGTGGTGATGCGAACCCGGAGTCCTGATGTCTACAGCACAAATATAACCATTTTATTTTCTCGAAACGACTTACGCATGTTTTATATGTAATGTTGTTAAAAATAGTCATAAATCAGAAAAAATAAGTTTTCTTCGGGGACTATTCTGTCTTACAATATCTTGCATGTATCCCTCCACCATGGACAATTTAAAATAAATGAATTAAAATACATTTGAAGCCAAAACTTGATCACAAAACTATCATAAACAATGTGTCACATATCTAACCATTTTATGTAATAACCTTTTGTAAGGGAGCTTTCAGGGGCATTACACTCTTCAGACGTCTGATTCCTATCACCACCGCTGTGAACAATTCTGACTCGGCAAGTTTCTCACAACAAAGCCCTCTGAATGACTTTGTTTAGATCTCAAGGACAGAATTTTTCAGAAAGTTTGAAAAATCAGCAGAGTTCCCCTTTAAGTATCATGATATGACATTTTTGCCGTATCACCCGCCCTGTGTGATTTGACTGATGGTGCACTAGTAAATTACTTGAAAACCGTTTGAAATTTGGCATGAGCAGCAATGGATGCCCTCTCCCAAACATTACTACTTCTCCAGTGATATCTAAAACTACTCCTTACTAGACATGAAAACTGATTTGTTACGTGCAGCTCAACCAGCTGAGGTACAGTATCATGCCCCAGTGCACATCTTCCAGTTACCTAATATCCTGCCCTGATATTGCACTTACTCCATCATCTGCTAATGTAGGCTAATGCCATCTCACTTCGTTTGAGAGATGGAGTGTTGAATTCAGTTCAGTGATATTATAAGCATGATTTGATCAAACCAGACTAAATCAAAAGCATGTTTAGAAAAAGAAGATAGGGTAACCTTTTCATTTCTTTCCCTCAGCTTTCCAGCCCTTGGCAGGAACATCGAGAAGTTTTGGTGTGACAGAAAGGACTGTCACCACCTCAGCTCCAGCGGAGGGTAAGAAAGAATGGACACGGTGCTCACGTTAGACTTCAGGATTATTTGAATTCACTACAAAAATCTCTACTTGACAGACTTGGAAAAAAAATGTGTTCATTCAGTGTGGTCCAGTGTGAAGAGATGTGTCCCTTAGACATCTAGAGTTATTGTTGTTTTGCTAGACTATCTCAATGTTGATATACTATTTAATTATAGTATGTCATACTGTGCAAAGGTCAGATACTACCTTTCAAAGTCAAAATGGCCTTAAGAACGAGTTATTCGTTTTTCAGAGTCCATTTCAGAAGAAAACAGAAAACACTTATTTAACAGAAAATTTTGAAGAATCCTCAAACACTAAAAATATTTTTTTAATATTTAATGTGTCCACCCTTTGCCCTTATTATAGCTTCCTCTTTTTGGGAAGACTACAGTCTGCAGGGATATTTGCACCATCAAATTTCAGTCTTAGAAGTTCTCGAAAAATTGCTTTTTCGCAGTAATCTAAGTAATCCCAAACACACTCAACAATGTTAAAGTTTGCACTCTGGGGCGGTCAGTCCATTGTTTTGAGAACACCAGCAATGTCGTTGTTTTACTTGCAAAGGTTTTTTTTTGGTATATTTCTCAGTAACAGCTTCTTGACAGCTACACATCCTTTCAGACCCATAGCGTTGAGTTGTCCTGTGGATCTTTTCAGAGCTGAAGCAAGAACTCGATTTTCTCCTCTCTCTCTCAAATACAAAAAGTCCGAAGTTAATTCATTCACTTACCATTGACGTCCCCCTCCCTTATGCAAGTAGATTAGCTAATTTATCATTATCTAATCCTCACAGAAATTTCTCTGAAAATTGAATTTCAACTTAAAGGCTGAAAATTAAACTAAAGAAAGGTGATCTTTGACTTTTGCACAGTATTGTGTATTCTGTGATGATATATCATATGTGGCACTGTAATGAACTATGTTTGCATTTGATTTTAGGTTATGTAAATCGAATGCAACCATTTGTTCTGATGTTAAAATATGACAAAAGCTTTGCAAAAAATGTAAAGGATGTTTTTGTCTTTCCACAAAACAAGATACACACAATTTGAAATCATAATAAAATATGTCCTCTTCTAAACGCAAATATAGTATCAGTTAAAAGTGTAGAATCCACATATTTAACGTAATTTATGTTGCATGTTTCAGTTACGGATAAGTGAGAAATAATTCTTTTTAAATTCTCGTTATAATTGCAACTTCTAGGGGTTAAAGAGAAGAGATGTAAATCATGGTGGGTCTAAAAGCAACTTTCTGGTGAAGTATCTAACCTCTTTCTGTCTCTGTAGGTGCGATAAGGTTGTCAGGTGGTCAGCACCGCTGTGAGGGCCGTGTGGAACTGTACCAAAGTGGTGAGTGGGGTACCGTATGTGATGATGCCTGGGACCTCCCAGACGCCCAGGTGGTGTGCAGGCTGCTCGGCTGTGGGGATGCTGTAGCTGCCCGGGTGGAGGCTTTCTTCGGACCAGGCAGGGGCACCATTCTCCTGGACAATGTGAAATGCACCGGCACAGAGGCCTCACTCCAGCAGTGCTCCCACATATCGTGGGACGTCCACAACTGTGACCACTCAGAGGACGCCGGCGTGACATGTTCACTCTCGTGATTCCATACCCGCAAGTCCCGCCCATCCGCCTCTGGCCCAAAAAGTGTGTGGAGTGGAATGGGAGCAGTTTAGATAACAAGACTTTTATGTACATTCTGTAAATAACTGCTCATGCTGTTATTCTGAGGATATAAAGATGTAATAGCTTTAAAAAGAAAATGATGCTTATCTATGGTTACTGATAAATATAACTGATATTCTAATTATGCACTTTATGAATTTTATGAATCCCAAATACTTATATACTGTATGTATATACGCATCGATTTGTTCCACACTAGTTGTGGAAAAACAGTTGATATACAGTGGAAACCAAAGCTTTAGACCCTATTTCTTTTTCTTTTTCTACGTACAATTTTTAAATATTTAGCGCACACTGCTAGTCGTGCAGTCTGATAAAGAGAGGTATTGCATTCTGGAGCTGCCAGGACATCCATTATTTACATTCAGATGAAAGAGTTTCCCGGCATACCCACAGACTCAACGCTGGAACACTGAAAGACAAAACTGACTTTGCCATAAACAAGTGCAGCATCCCATATCTATGGGTTTATTCTAAGGCTATAGACAAATGATAATCAGACAAGCCGCTTGTCTCAAGACAGAGCAGAACTGGTACATTTAGACATCAAACATATTTTTTTGGTAGGATCTGGTGTGATAGAGTATTGGTCAGTTTTCTGAAAACTCAGTGTGTACATGACCGCTTTAAAAGATGTTGTCACTAAAGCTTTCTTTTGTATTTGTCCCAGATTAAAGACAAAGTAAGACTGAAGTCATAACAGATTTTCTCTTTCCTTACCGTAAGATATTTCTGAGTGAAACACGGTATCAGAGAGGGTCTCTGAGCTAGCTGAGCACTTTGCTCAGTAGGTAGGGGTGGTGGGAGAGGGACGTATAAAACATGATGGGCTATAACCCTCAATTCCAATAAAGGTTGAGACAGTATTAGAAATGCAAGCAAAACAGAAGGCAGTGATTTATAAATCCACTTTCATTTGTGTTTAAATGAAAACAGTACAAACAGATCAAGATAATTTATCAACTTCATTCATTTTTGTAAATATATGCTCATTTTCAAATTAATGCCTGCAACATGTTCCAAAATTTGGGACGGGGCAATTTAAGACTGGAAACGTGAAATGTTCAAAAAGCATCTTAATCAGGTGATGCAATCATGCTTGGGTATAAAAGAAGCATCCAGGAAAGGCCATGATAAAGATGAGTCAAGGCTCGCTATCAGCTCAGAAATAAAATTACTGTCAGTAACACCTTTTGATTCTACATCCACAAATGCAAGTTAAGACTGTACCATAGACTGCGGAAGCCATACGTCAAAAATGTGCTGAAACACCGCCGACTTCTCTGGGATGAAGCTCACCTGAAATGAACTGATGCTCAGTGTAAACGTGTATTGTACTATGACAAGTCAACCTTAGATGTTTGTGGAAGCAATGGACATCATATTCTCCAGGCCAAAGAAGAAAAGGACCCTCTAGATTCTTAACAGTGGAAGTTCAAAAGGAAGAGTCTGTCATGGTATGAGGATGTGTAAGTGCCCATGGCATGGTCCCCATACAGTAGCGTAGCTCAAGACTTGTATAACGGAAGAATGGCAAAAAAATCTGCTTTTAAAACTTAAGTCTCCAAACAAGTATCCAGTGTTATTAAAGAAAAGGTGGCGTAAGACAGTGGTAAACATGTTCCTGTCACAACCTTTTTGAAACATGTTGCAGTCGTTAACTTTGAAATAAGCATATATTTATTAAAAATAAAGAAAAAAACAATTATTTTCATAATGTAAAACATGAAATATTGTGTTTTTTTGCTGTTTTCAATTTAATACAGGCCAAACAGAATTTACTGGTCAGTGCTTTCCTTTTTCATTAGCATTTCACATTCTGTCCCAACTTTTTTGGAATTGAGATTTGTATTGTTCTCTGCCTGCTGGTGCACAGTGACATAATCAGCCTACTCAGCACAGCTACTGATCAAACCAGTCATGTAAAGCATTTAAGATTTTTAAAATGGTTTATTTCAAAGGAAATTGGAGTTTTATTACATTTTTATTTGGGCCTAAAAGACAAAATATAAATGGATGGGTAACTTTAGAGGGTCTCTGAAATCTGTTGAATAAAATGCTTTGTATGTAATATGCCAAAGCCAGATTGTCTAGATTGAAAAAGATATTCTCAGGTTTTAAGTTCTCAATGAATATTCCCGATGGGGCTTCTGTTTTTGGGAATGATTTCTTTACATGGCAATAATATGAAAGTCTAGATATGTAAGTAAGAGCAACCAATGCAATATTGCTCTGTCCTGGTCAAAAATGGCTTGCAACTGCCATTGTACTTTATTTTAGTTGTTAATTGAGACAGATTTTGTGAAACTTAGGTAGAAAGTTAAACACTGTAATCTGAAAATGTATTAAGATTTTTTAGGCTTCAGATTATTCAATGAAGTGTTTGCAGGAGCGTTTTACTTTGTTTTTAATAATAAAGAAAAGACCTTAATAATACATAATTTAACATTTGACATCTGTGAATGCCTTAATGTTTTTTTTTAAATATGAAAAAGGTGTGTAGTACTATGCAAAATCAAAGGCTACCTTCCATTTATTTCATTTCCAGTCAGAGTGGTACAAGTAATAATGAAGTACACGTTATTCAATTTTTTAGTGTCATGTTAAAAAGTAGAAAATATATATTAAACAGAAAATTGCCCAGAAGATGTTTAACTTTCAACTTATAATTTAGTGTGTCCATCCTTTACCTTCATTACAGCTTCCATTCTTTTCAGGAGACTTGCTTTCAGTTTTTCAAAGAAACCTGCTGGGATATTTTCCCAAAAATGTTCAGTCTTATAAGCTGGTTGCTTTTTCTGCTTCTCACAATCCAAAAAATCCCAATCATCAGTCCATAAAACCTTGCTCCACATGTCAGATGTCCAGTTTCATTGTTGCTGTGCACATTTTCTTCCTTTTTATCTATTTCCTTTTCTCAGTAACAGCTTCTTCACCGCTATACATTGTTTTAGACCCGAGATGGTCTGAAACACCTGTGGATTTTCTAGATCTGTTGCAAGCATTTTTCTCCTGTCTCTCAAAGATAAAAAGTCCTGTTTATCTGACGTTCGGACAGTTTTGGTGGTCTATCAGGTCTTGCATGGTTATTAAAAGTCCCATTTTCTAAGTATCTTTAATTTTTTTAAATCCTGTTTTGGAAACATCTGTTTTTTCCTTTATTTTCCTTTGACTGTGCCCTTCCTTATGAGGGTAGATTATCATATATCTAATCTCCTTAGAAATATCCAATGAAAAAGATTGAAATTTGTACTTGTGGCTGTTTTGACTGGAAATTAAATCAGTGAAGGGTGGTCTCTGATTTTTGCACAGTATTGTATTTAATGAAACTGTTTTCTTATTGTACATGCCTTTATAAAGTGAGGTGAGGGGTCCATATATCGAATGGGGAATATAGTAATCTTCTGTATGTATCTATCAGATGCTCTTTTTCAAGTAGGTGAGTGGTTCTTGATTTTGACATTTCTGAAATGTCAAATGCTCTCCTTGAAAATCTACAACAACATTAGATATTTATTTTCCAATCTTGGTGCTTAAAGATATTAAAGGTTTCATCACATATTCTGCGTACCCTCCATCGACCTTTGCGTACATGTGTGTATGTACAAGTTTTGATTTCTTCATGGTAATAGTTAGGGCCAGATTAAGGTTGAGGTTGGGGTTAGGATTAGGATTACAGGACTGTAGGTCCTGGCAAGGGTGGTAAAACAGAGTGAGTGTGTTTGTGCTGGGCTACTGCACTGGCGGCCTACAGCCAGAGGTCTGTTGGATTCTTGGCCCAGGCCCTCTTCCTGAGCACTAAGCTGCTGAGGACAAGCTTCTCCTGGATTACTGAGACCCTGCTGCCATTTGGCACCCTCCTTCAGTAGAGCCAAATATAAATAAATAAATAAAAGCCTCATCCTCAAAACAGCTGCTCGCTGGTGTGTCATGCTGCAGTGATGGGACTAAACGGAAGACGGTTTTGAAGATGATTATAGAGAGAAAAAGGTGGTGGTCTTAGGGGAAAAAAGATGGCCTAAAGCAGGGGTTCCTAAACTTTTTTCTTGGTGGGGACAAAGTGTGGTGCTTGTTGGGGGCTGGAATATGGGAATAGCGGGCCAATGTTGATATGAGTTCTGATATTTTTCAAGTACATACACTAGTTATATGCAAAAATTTGATACCCCTGTATCAAATTACGTGTGTTGTTGACGGGAAAATAGGTTAACACATTCTCTACAGAGAACAAATTTAAATATACTAATTTTAGTCCACAACTTGCTGAGAACATATTATAAAACAAATGTACCAGGACTTTTGCACAAGCAACATTTTTTTTTCAATGTGCTCAGCAAATAAACAATAATTGTGCGTCACTTATTTTCAGCAAATCAACTAAATGTAATTTGACCAGGGCGCCAAAACTTTTGCCCACAACTATTTTTGCCGATGCCAATGGCGATACATAAACATTTATAAGATGTAGAAACACTGATTCACATTGCAGAAAAATATAACATGTTTGTTATAAGGGTTATAAATGCAGTAAAATGAATAAAATACAGGCATTTCAGCACAGTGACCCAGCATCGCCTAAACATTCAGCTCTTCTGGAGTACAATAATTATCAATACAGTCAGAAATATCAGTCAAATTTAAACATCTGTCCAACACCGATATGATTCTGATATCATCCTGCATCCCTGTATGGGTACATTCTTTAAATACTCCATTGCTTTCCTTGCATATGAGGTATACCAATAGGATGAATAGAAAGGACTGGAAGAATAGCATATATAGAAGAAATGCTTTTGCGTGTTAGTTCTAGGTTGTGTGTTCTCTAGCATTAATGCTAAGGACTTGTGGCGGGTGGGGCTAGGTCTGCCGGGGGGATATGTGTGTTTGAGCAGAAAGTGCTGAGAGTGAAAGAGAGAGAGGAGTGAGCAGAGTCAGAGCGTGAACTGATAGAGAAAACTCTGCTTATGTCCAGCGTGGCTGTGGCCAACAACAGCTGGAGAATAAAGCACCATGACTTGCGCGAAAGCTGCGCCTCGTTTAATAGCGGTGAACACAACAATATTCATAAGATCAGTGGTCTCGGATATTCTATTGCCCGTGTGTCACCACCCGTTTGGCCTGTTTGGGCCAACATCAAATGTCTTGACCCGCAGCCCTCAGTTTGGGCAGGTCTGGCTTAGACATGAAAGAAACAGAGTGGTGGCCTAAAGAAACAGTGGTGGTCTTAGGGAGAAAAAGATGGCCTGCTCTTAAAAAGGAAGGTTCTTCAAGCGTTCTTTAGTGTGGGAATGGTTCTGTGTAGAACCCTGAGTTCTATATAGAACCACTTCATGCTCAAATGGTTCTTTGTGTGGTTAAACGCTTCTTCAGATTGATGGAGAATGTGTTGCATATGGTTCTATATATAGAACCTTTTTGAAAATGGGTTCTTCTATTGTTACAATCTTGACATCGCAACAATAACAGAACCTTTTTTGGCGCTATATAGAACCATTTTCAAAAAGGTTGTATATATAACCATATACAATACATTCTCCATTAATCTGAAGAACCATTTAAACGTGAAATTGTTCTACATAGCACCAAAAAGGGTTCTTCTACTGTTATGACGTCAAGCTTGTTAACAATAGGAGAACGCTTTCTGGTGCTATATAGAACCATTTTCAAGCCATATACAACACATTCTCCATCAATCTGAAAAACCATTTCACTATGCAAAGAACCATTTAAGCATGAAATCATTCTATATAGAATTCAGGGTTCTAAATAGAACCATTCCTTTTTGCTAATGAATCTTTGAAGGACCATCCTTTAAGTGTGTAGAGAGAAAAATGAGAGATGGATAAAGGGGTGTGGACCAGACAGAATAAAGCAGGGAGAGAGGTACACAAGCAGACACAGTACAGAGCTGCACTCCCACTATGATAGAAAAGTGGAACATTTTAGTATCCAGAGTCAAAATGATAACAGCTCGTTAATGACAGAACCTCACTGTTCTGCCGTCACTGAGCTGTTCAGTGAAACACCACACGCTGTCCTCATGGCCACACTTTGCTTCTCATACGCATCACGGCACGGACTAAAGCACGTTCGCAAGCAGCCTGCAGCAGCAGCAGTCCGTGCCAATGACTGATTTTGGGGCGTGTCAATGTTAAAAAAAGACAGGTTTCCAAAAGACTACATTTCCCAGAATCCCGGTGGAAGGGAGGAAAAAACGTTTCGGAGCTCCTGATTTCAGAGGCTGCCGCTGATTGGTCGACTCATTAGCAAGCGAACGCCCACATGCCCAAATAAGGCGTGCTACATCGCCAGCCGGCCCCCCGCCCACTTCGCAGCGATGACGCAATCGTGTGAAAGCGTGAGAGGGGGGTCCGTACTGCACGCGCTCACAGCGGGGAGCAGCTGCAGAAGCGAGCAGGAGCAGTCACCGCATCGCCAGCGAGAGCCCGAAAAAACACCCACCCTCAGCACTTTCGCCCTCCAGACACTCAAAAAAGGCATCCAGTAACATAACCGAGCGACCATGGTGGACCGCGAACAGCTGGTTCAGAAAGCCAGGCTGGCCGAGCAGGCTGAGAGATACGACGACATGGCAGCTGCCATGAAATCGGTAAGTACGCCTGAAAAATGTGGGAGAAGTTGACCGGTGGGCTAAATTCACCTTTACGTGGTATTTGCGGCTGTTTTGTGGTTGTTCAGCCGGCGCTGTGTCATCGTTTGTTGGGCGGTCTCAGCGTCTCTGAAACGCCTCACGTTCAAAACGTCTAACGGCTTTAACGGCTTTTGCTACGAAAACGTACAGAAATATAACACAAGCAGTGCAAAAGCGGCTAACTGGCTGCCCAAATCCCCCTTTTAGCAGCACACTATAGCGCCGAAAGTCAGCTTCTTGTTCGAATGTTCCCGTTCCACCTTAAATGGTGCAGCCTAGAACGTAACTGCTGCACCATTTAAGGTGGAACGGGAAAATTCGAACGAGAAACTGGGGAATATGAAGTTCAGCTTCGTGGCCCAATATGACCGGTCCGGTTTGACAGACCACAGTTGGGCTTCGTTCAGTGAGGCAAGTCGGTTTTTTTTTCGTTTCACTCAAACAAACCCCACCCCAAACGTCTCGTTCTGGACGTTTATTGTGGACTCGAAACGGTCCGGTTTGACTGTGGACAGCGTGTGGAGTGAATGCGGGCTGTTTGATGTCGGGGCGGTGCCTTGTGCCAGAACAAACCCTGGACTAACTACATCGCCATAGAAGGACTGAGGGTCAAAATTACGGACCACGAACAGCAAAGGAGCCACACTTTCTCTCACGTTCATTGCGCACCGTGATTCAGCTAAAACGTGTAAAATGTGAGCCAAAAATACGTTTTTTCGCAGTTCGGTGAGGGGAAACGGGATCAGGCTCGAAGCGCAGTGTGAAGTCGACGCCTGTCGTTTTTGGGTAAGGTGCTTGTCCGGGTTTGAAGGATGCGGTGATGTTGCTAAAAAATCTGGCCAAAAATGCCCTCCCTACAGCTCTACTGCTGTGTCTCGGACGGTTGAAATGAGCCAAACAACAAGGTGAATACGCCGTTTATATACATACATACATATATATACATATATATATATATATATATATATACACACACACACACACACACACAGGCAATATGCATGCTAGAGGCGTTTCTCTCTTACTAGGTGTGTCATGGTGCAGCAGCGACTGTAATGCACCATTTCTTACAATCCATCAACCCTCACCCAGAAAGGATAGGATCACCCTGCACTATTAACAAAAAAGTCTGATACAAAACCTTCATAATAGCACTGTGCCCCACCCACCTTCTCTCCAGCCTGTTTTAACAATGCATACCACCTCCAGCACATTCAACAAACCCTTTTTACGAATCCTAACACCTACATCCCACTGACTAAACCATCCATTATAGGCCCCAATAACCATAATAAGAGAAGGTGCATTGTAGGCTAAACTGCTGTTGAGGTGTCGCCTCAGGCTAACGAATCCCCTCGTGTCCGGCTCTCTTGAGCGGAAAAGTGCACTGGTCCATTAGGAAGCGAGGAGGACAGGAGGCCGTCCGCTGATGAAAAAATGCTCCGTCATGGTCCGATGGTGGCTTTTCTTGGGGGAGGGCGTAAGCCAGCATCCCTTATCTTTAAATGGGACGTGACTGAGGGAACAAGATGAAGTGCGCTGCTCTCTGATGCACCATCAGATATGCCATTAGCGCGTACCGATGGCCATTTGGATTTTAACCTTTTGAACAGATGGGTCAGGCATATTATTAGGGATGTACCGATACGGGAATTCTGGGCCGGATGATGATACCCAATTTTTTTCTGTACGTATCTGTTCATGCTGTTACACAGAAAATCTAGACATTGGTACACAATCCACGTGGATTGGCGTTATGGAGGGATGTCCATTTATGTCTAAACAGTTACAAACACAGAATAATGAATAAAATACAGGTAGTTTAGCCCGGCGTCATCGAAATATTTCACTCTTCCGCAGGACAATAAATGCGTCATCAAATGTCAGATTTATCGGTCAAACCTAGTCACTGGCCCAATACTAAAATAATGATAAATTTAAAAAATAATAATTATCCGTCAAAACTAATATGATTGTGATATCGTGCATCCCTCCATGTTACATAGTCGTTATGTAGGTATTATGCTCCGTTTTGCTCTTATGGCTCTTATGACTTTCATGTTTAATAGCGATACAGAAGGGTATAAATCTGCCCTTTTGGCATGTTTTATACAAATATGTCTGTATTAGTGACAATTTCACATCAAAATTGAGCAGAATGGAATCTGATTGGTTTCTGAGTTTTACAGCCTACCCAATCTAAGTATCCAAAAATGCTTAAACAGCAGCTCTAAAATCTCAGCTAATGTTATAACTGCCATATTCATCCTTAATATATTAAGGTAGTGGTGCTATTAGCTGTGTGTTGAGTCATTCTCAAGATATGCCATTTGGTTTCAGGCACTCAGTGAAAGTGAATTGCCTTCGTCCTCCCTCTTTGAAAGGGCATGCCTAATGACCTTTCGATGTTCCAGTAGATGCAGGTGACCCTGCTGTCTGGAAATCAAGGCTAGGGTGTGGATGAGATCCGGATGGGAGAAGCTTATCCTAGATGCTGTCATTAGGAGGGTCCCTCTGCAGCAGAGGACCAGCAGGGTGTGTCGGAAGCCACGCCCATTTTTCCGTGGGGAATCCCTGACTCCTCTCTGACCTAATAAAATATCATAATCCCTCCTGTGACCCAATAAAATGACACAATCCCATCCTCAGTAATGTAATAAATTAATCGGAGTGATGGGAGAGGGGTTCGTGTCTACAGCATCAAGCTGTAGTGACACCATGACTGCACTATCACTGCTGACGAATGTCACCATTAATTGCTTATTACTACTACTACTACTTATTACTACTGCTAGCCTACTGCTTCTTACCAGACTATTGTTATTACTACTATATTACTACTAGTCTACTGTAAGTGCTGTATACAAATTGGCATAATATTTTTCCTTGACCACATTTACAATAGGTGTATTTTACATCATTAATATATATATATATATATACATATATATATATATATATATGTACTTCTTTTTTTTTTTGTGTGTTGTGTCATCTATGAATGACAGCAGCATGTGTCGGCCATGTTGTGGTATCGCACCCTTTTTGTGTTAGTCTACCAGTTGGCAGATGTATTCTGACATGTTGTGGCCTGGCTGTCATGCTGGTGTTACATCTTCATGCCTTTGGGTCAGGGTTTAGCTCAGGTCAATTACATTTATTCAGCAAAAGCAAACTGCTTTCTCCCCTCATAAATCAAGCCGTCAGTGATAGATACATAAAGCTGTAGATTCCACCTCCATGGCAGGAAATTCTGGAAATTTATCTAAATCTTCAGATGGTAGGTGACTTTGACTGTCTCTGACGTAGAGACTATATTAAAAGCAGTTATTTAAAACTCACATCACTGTAATTGATAATGTACAGTTGTATGCAAACATTTGGACACTCCTGGTCAAAAGACGTTTTGTTGAGTGAAAATAAGTTGCAAGTAAATAGAAATTGTTTACTAAAATTACCAGAAAAATGTTACAGTTTTACATTTTTAAGTTTGTTTCCTGTAGAGAAGCTAATTTTCACGAGAAAATCAACAAAACATATAAATTGACCAGAGATGTTTGAACATTTGCGTACTATAAGTGCATAATTCAAATGTCCACCTCTTACATAACTATTTAGTGCTTTTGTTTTTTTAAGACGGTGAAAAATAGATTGCACTGAGATGTGACTAAAATTCACTGGTACATCTTTTTATATAATATATATTTAAAGATATTTATATTAATAATTAAAGCTTTAAGACTACTGAAACAACACTGAAGTCAGCTAAGTTCATGTCCTTCGTTTTCAAGACATGAAGTCACCCTTCCAAAGGACCACTCTTTGTCATCATGATGTCATGTTACTTATATCAACACGCCACCCAACCTCCGGTGCTGTCACTCAGTAATTCTATCACACTAAGCCTGCACTGAATGTAATGATGTACCTACTGCCCTTGGTAAAAACCGATTATAGTGTATTTTAGTGCTAGCAAGTTGTGAGAGATGCGATGTACATATGTGCTTCGAATCGTGTGCCATATGGGTGCGATTGAACTATTGCAAACGCAGAGTACACAGTGCTCAGCCTCCCACTCTCTTGCAGCAGGCACCACCGCAGCCATGGCTCTAAGACACAGGCGCCCAGCAATTCATGTTTTTTCACAGCCTTCTAGTTATAAAGCATTTATGGGTTTATTTTTAGAAGCATGCAGCAGCTTCAGTGATGTTTAAAAAATTCAGTCACTTTGTGGTTATATAACAACAATGCGCTGCTTCAACCAAGAACCCCCTCCCCCCTTTCCAGTTTCTTTCTTCATTCATACATCCATTCCTCTCCCCGCAGCCATTTACTCATTATGTGTCTCTAATGCCCCTATCACATTCACAATGTCACACCAGGTGTCCCTCAGTGTCTCTCTGCCTTCCTCATCGTGGAAGAAGGGTTTATCGCATCACATTCATGAAAAAGTAAGCGAGAGAGACTAAGGCGGATAGAGTCGCTTTAAATGCAGTGTAATTGGTGTTGCATGATATACGATTATAATATTATTCAGATTATTCAATGAGAAAATGTATTTATTATTATCAGTCCAATATCGGAATTACAGCTGGTAAGTCCAACCAGTAATTTGACGTCACTTTTTCCATTTCCATTCTTTTAAATTCACTTAAAAATATTTACGAAAGTAATGTATGTTTGCATTAATTGTCATGTATGATTTAGCTGTATTATAGGGACCCATATTTTGGAGTCTTATGCTCTTCAAACAGTCGTACGCAAAAGTTCAAACACCCCTTGTCAAATTACGTTACTTTTTTGCAAATAAGCAGTAATTGTGCAGAGTAGTTGTGTAAATCTGTAGAGGATGTGTTCATCCATCCAGTTCACATAAGCATGTAGTTTGACCAGACCCAAACTTGCTTACTACTCTATATGAATCTGCAATGCTTAAACATTTTTAAAAAGGGGGAACA